TCGTGCTTGGCATGGACTAGGCGCAAACATACTCTGGTGCTTGGCATGGACTAGGGGCAAACATACTCTCGTGCTTGGCATGGACTAGGCGCAAGCATACTCTGGTGCTTGGCACAGACTAGGCGCAAGCATACTCTCGTGCTTGGCATGGACTAGGCGCAAACATACTCTGGTGCTTGGCATGGACTAGGGGCAAACATACTCTCGTGCTTGGCATGGACTAGGCGCAAGCATACTCTAGTGCGTGGCACAGACTAGGCGCAAGCTTACTCTGGTGCTTGGCATGGACTAGGCGCAAGCATACTCTGGTGCTTGGTACAGACTAGGCGCAAGCATACTCTGGTGCTTGTCATGGACTAGGCGTAAGCATACTCTGGTGCTTGGTACAGACTAGGCGCAAGCATACTCTGGTGCTTGGCATGGACTAGGCGCAAGCATACTCTCGTGCTTGGTACAGACTAGGCGCAAGCATACTCTCGTGCTTGGTACAGACTAGGCGCAAGCATACTCTGGTGCTTGGCATGGGCTAGGCGCAAGCATACTCTGGTGCTTGGTACAGACTAGGGGCAAGCTTACTCTGGTGCTTGGCATGGACTAGGCGCAAGCATACTCTCGTGCTTGGCATGGACTAGGCGCAAGCATACTCTGGTGCTTGGCATGGACTAGGCGCAAGCATACTCTGGTGCTTCGTACAGACTAGGCGCAAGCATACTCTCGTGCTTGGTACAGACTAGGCGCAAGCATACTCTGGTGCTTGGCATGGACTAGGCGCAAGCATACTCTGGTGCTTGGTACAGACTAGGCCCAAGCATACTCTCGTGCTTGGCATGGACTAGGCGCAAGCATACTCTGGTGCTTGGCACAGACTAGGCGCAAGCATACTCTGGTGCCTGGCACAGACTAGGCGCAAGCATACTCTCGTGCTTGGCATGGACTAGGCGCAAGCATACTCAAGTGCGTGGTATAGAGTAGGCGCAAGCATACTGTAGTGCGTGGTATAGAGTAGGCGCAAGCCTACTCTAGTGCGTGGTATAGAGTAGGCGCAAGCTTACTCTAGTGCGTGGTATAGAGTAGGTTCAAGCGTACTGTAGTGCGTGGTATAGAGTAGGCGCAAGCGTACTCTAGTGCGTGGTATAGAGTAGGCGCAAGCGTACTCTTGTGCTTAGTGTGGCATCGCTGCGATAACCGTATGCTCCCTGTGAACGAGTTTGATATTGACTTGTCGCTACGTTCCTGACCAGCTGCTCCCTGTGTTACAGTTTGATATTGACTGGTCGCTACGTTCCTGACCAGCTGCTCCCTGTGTTACAGTTTGATATTGACTTGTCGCTACGTTCCTGACCAGCTGCTCCCTGTGTTACAGTTTGATATTGACTGGTCGCTACGTTCCTGACCAGCTGCTCCCTGTGTTACAGTTTGATATTGACTTGTCGCTACGTTCCTGACCAGCTGCTCCCTGTGTTACAGTTTGATATTGACTGGTCGCTACGTTCCTGACCAGCTGCTCCCTGTGTTACAGTTTGATATTGACTTGTCGCTACGTTCCTGACCAGCTGCTCCCTGTGTTACAGTTGATATTGACTTGTCGCTACGTTCCTGACCAGCTGCTCCCTGTGTTACAGTTTGATATTGACTTGTCGCTACGTTCCTGACCAGCTGCTCCCTGTGTTACAGTTTGATATTGACTGGTCGCTACGTTCCTGACCAGCTGTTCCCTGTGAACGAGTATGATATTGACTTGTCGCTACGTTCCTGACCAGCTGCTCCCTGTGTTACAGTTTGATATTGACTTGTCGCTACGTTCCTGACCAGCTGCTCCCTGTGTTACAGTTTGATATTGACTTGTCGCTACGTTCCTGACCAGCTGCTCCCTGTGTTACAGTTTGATATTGACTGGTCGCTACGTTCCTGACCAGCTGCTCCCTGTGTTACAGTTTGATATTGACTTGTCGCTACGTTCCTGACCAGCTGCTCCCTGTGTTACAGTTTGATATTGACTGGTCGCTACGTTCCTGACCAGCTGTTCCCTGTGAACGAGTTTGATATTGACTTGTCGCTACGTTCCTGACCAGCTGCTCCCTGTGTTACAGTTTGATATTGACTTGTCGCTACGTTCCTGACCAGCTGCTCCCTGTGTTACAGTTTGATATTGACTGGTCGCTACGTTGCTGACCAGCTGCTCCCTGTGTTACAGTTTGATATTGACTTGTGGCTACGTTCTTGACCAGCTGGTCCCTGTGTTACAGTTTGAGCGATGACGAGTCTCTGCCTCTTTGACCGAGAAGGTATGTGATCTTGTCAGCTATCACGAATGATTGACAACAGCAAATGTACCCTTTCTGCAACGATTTTACGGTCAATGCAACCTGTACGCTGAGTGAAGCAATAAATTAATAACCTTGCATTGGGCTTCCCGTTTCTGATATGTGTATACCCGGTTGGCAAACACCGAACTTCTTAACAATGTGAATACAAAGATTGATTTGTATAATCTCGAAACTGTACACCTATTATATGCAGTTTAGCGAACATAACCGAGGATATCCGAACTGTAACGAAAGTTTGTTTATGAATCACTTTCAGACAGTGTGTGAGTGAGTTGGGTTTAACGCCGCTTTTAACAGTACAGTAAACTACGGTTATAACGAACACGCTTATAACGAACCGACGGATATAACGAACTACTTTTTTGGTCCCGACTATTTGCTGTAGTTATGCTGTATATATGCTTATAACGAACTACGGTTAAAACGAACTAAAATTTGTAGTCCCTTTGAGTTCGTTATAACCGTACTTTACTGTATTCCAGTTATGTCGCCGCGCGTCATGATCACCTTAATGTGTGAGGAAAGCCCCAAGTGATGCAGGTCTCAGACGTTTACTACTTAGGTGAAACCCACGAGCACGGGTACGAGCACTTTCAAAAATATACCAGGTGTTCGAGAGAAGGTGAGCGTAACCTACCCAACCGCTGGCACCCTCACAAACACATGCAAAGGCAAGTCAAATGTTCACCTAAAACACACGGAAACATATTGTTCAGATCGAAATAAGGAATTTCATCAGACACCATATCTAGAAGAGGTCTTAAGTAACCCATTATTGCCGTAAACGGCGACTATGCTTGTCGTAAGAGGCGACTAACGGGATCGGGTGGTCAGGCTCGCTGACTTGGTTGATGCATGTCATCGATCCCAATTGCGTGGATCGATGCTTATGATATCATTCACTGGATTGTCTGGTCCAGACTCGATTATTTACAGACCGCCGTCATATAGCTGGAATATTGCTGAGTGCGGCGTTAAACAACAAACCAACCAACCATTAAATTATTCATTACCACAATTGATTAAAAATACATTTTTTTAACCTTCAATGTACTTCCAACTGTCAACTCCGTTCAGCTCGCCTATACCAATGGCATACGTCACATGCTTGACGATGTGTAGACGAGACATATCCTATGTTATAAATGAACAAGTGTGGTGAAATGGGGTTTAACGTCGCGTCCAAGATAATTGCACTTATATAGCGACGTGCATGTACGTGTGTGTGTTTGTGTGGCTGCTTGTACTAGTCCGGACTGATGCCGATTTATAGTGCTTGCTCACTGAGATACCATGCCGCAGTTTAACATGAATACCCCACTCAGATACAGTATACTGACTCCGAGCAGACCAGTCCTTGTTTTAGCCCCTTCATGCCGAACGCCAGACAGGGTAACAACAAGTACCATCTTTTAACGTCTTTTGGTATGACGCGGTCGGGGATCGAACCCCGGGCCTTCCGCTCTCCGGGCGGACGCTCTACCACTAGACCACGGAGGCGGTCTTAAATGAACAGGAAGGTCCAGATTGATATATCTGCTGATGTCGATGTTGTGTAATTACAGATTGTCTCGGTGTGTAATAAGTCAGATTTTGTCAGTGTGATGTCGTGAAGTAAAACTGCTCATATAGGATACGCTCATCTTTTGGTGAACACGTTGTATACTCACTACCCATGAAGATCCGGGGTAGAAGAGGTCTTCAGCAACCCATGCTTGCCGTAAGAGGCGTCTATGCTTTGTCGTAAGAGGCGACTAACGGGATCGGGTGGTCAGACTCGCAATCACTGGATTGTCTGGTCCAGACTCGATTATTTACAGACCGCCGTCATATAGCTGGAATATTGCTGAGTGCGGCGTTAAACAACAAACAAACAATTTCATAGTGATTCATAAACACTCCTTATGATATCGTCCGAAGCTAACAGTTTGTTGATGTATATTGGTTAATACTACTCTTCTGCAAAGATGTCCTGCGTTATATTTTTGGGGGTATTTTAAAGATCAGTTTAGGGAATTAGGTAGCTGAGTGGTAACAGACTTGCAAGAAACGGGTCAGTTCCCACATGGCTGCAATGTGTGAAGTCAAAGTTTGGCATCATTTTGATGTTTAAATTATATTTGACCATCAATGGTAACAGATACAATTGTTATATGTCTAAACAATATACTCCATAGAGGTCAGTTTTTTTTAATAAATGCACGTAATATTGGTGTGGTATTACTACGCATATTGTCATCTTTGTATAATTGTACACATTGTCAGTGTGGTATAACGGAGTGAGTGAGAGAGTGAGTTGGGTTTAACGCCGTTTTTGACAGTATACCAGTTATATCACGGCGTTTCAGCTTAATGTGGGAGGAAAGCCCGAGGTGATGCAAGTCTCGGACGTTTACCACTTCGGTGAAACCCACGAGCACGGGTTTAGGGATGACAAACCTAGAAACATAATCGGGGCGAACCGGGATTCGAACCCACAATCATAGGTTTCTGGCGTGCCCAAGGGACGCAACTCTGCACAGCGAATCGCGGCGCCTTAGACGACTGGGCCATCCATGGCCCAATCAGGCTAGACAGCAAGGCGTTCATCGTGAAACTTAAACGTATATAATAGAAAAAAAAGTTTTCAAATTGTATAAATGATGAGCACAAAACTGGTTTAGATATCTGAAGATTCATCCACGTTATTGACGTGACACACAAGACTCTCCTCCAGATTGACTAACAATCAATTCATGGTACTATTCGTTCATGGAAGACTAACGCTAAGTCAGCATTTCCTTAGTTTAATAAATGCGAGAGTGTCGGAAGTCGGCTCTAGTAGTCCTTGGCATCAAAACAAATCCCCTCAGTCCACCATTTGTATATATTCTTGTATGTTTTTCTCACCAGAGGCTGATGTAACTTAGCACACATGTCACATATAAATGGAATACCTTTCAGAAAGTTCCCGCCAGGCTTGTACTTAGCCATGTTCCTGAGGATCTTAGTATAGCCAGGTAGGTCTTGCTGCAGAGCCTTGAGATGTTCTGCCAGAGCTCTGGGACTGGGGAAATCTGCTGTGTTGATGTACAAGTCTGGGGGGAACAGGGTACGGTAGTCTGATCCCCCCCTAACTACTGGAACGATTCTTCTTTTAAATGGGTTAAAAAACTTTTCGGTTACGTAATCCTTGCACAGTGAGTTTTCAAAAGACAAATAGAACCAGTAATTACTCCACACCCCATCACACCGTTGTCCTTTGGCACACGTCAAATTGCCACATTTACCGTATATATCCACATCTATGTACTTCCTCAGTTCCTTAACGTATTCCCCCCGTTTACTCTGAGTCTTACAGTGACTGACGAACCACAGCACAGACCTGGTCTTCCTGAGGACGATGTCGGTGTAGTTAGCGGTGTCGACGAAGTCGTCCTTCAGGGTGAGTCTGGAGTACGTAGAGATGAAGTCAGAATCAAGTCGGAAGGATAATGTCCAGTTGAATCTTCCAATCCAGTCCGCCCGTTGGATGGCTCGGGGATTGTAGAACTGGTAAATTGTCTCGGCTGTGTGGAACACCCAGATCTGGTCTGGGTTGTTATTTGGCACCATCCAGTCTTTCAGTAAGTCTGCATGAACCAAGACAACGTCAGCCGCTGGGACGTCACTGCTATTGAGCGACATAACACAGTCACTGACAGCACACGCCGAGAAATCAATGTTCTCTTTTTTCGCCATCCACGGTGGACTATTCAGCCAGGCAAGTCTCTTCAAGGGCCGCATTTTAACAGATTCTTCCTTTGTGGAGACCTTGATGGGCTTGTATGCCACTTTCTTGACCTTCTCAATGACCAGTGCATAATTCGGTATCCCATACATATATTCATAGTCCTCTTTGAACAACTCTGATTCATCTTTCACGCCACCTGGTAACATCACCCTTTGCTTTAATGTCGTGGTGGTTTTAGGTTTAGGAGTTGTTTTATCTTGTTTATCTGCAAAAGAATCATTTGACTGACGGAATAGTAGCATAACCAATACAACTACACCGACAAGAAGGGTCAAGTGTGCCACGGCGCCTCGTCCGAGTACACGACAGGGGTGTACAAGCTGTGTCTGAAATGTAAAGCAATCTCAGTCAATTCAGTGGACAGGACTCTGTGTCAGTGAATAGGGTTTAGGGTAGTACGTGAACACATGTGTGAGAGGAAGAGTGAGTGAGTGGATGATTGAGTGAGTGAGTGAGTGGATGAATGTTGGGGAAGCTGGTGAACGAGTGAGTGGATTAGAGGTTGTGTGTGTGTGTGTGTGTGTGTGTGTGTGTGTGTGTGTGTGTGTGTGTGTGTGTGTGAGGGAGTGGGAGAGGAAAAACATCAACTGCTTCACGTTATACGGGGAAGAACAACACTTATATTGTGACCGTACAAAACCTTTAACTCTACGTGAGGGGAAACACGTCGAAAGAAGGCCACATAACACAAGTACATGTATGTTTGAATGTTTAATTGTAAGCGACAATACCCTTTCCAAATTCATAAGAATCCGTCATATTATTATTAGCATGTGTTCATGAATCACTATCAAACAGTGATGATACCAGTTGTTCGCGTAAAGATGTGCGTATCCTGCCCACCGATGGCACCCGTCACAAACACATGCAAAGGCAAGTCATCTTTTAACTTGATAACACACTAGAAGAACATATAGTACAAGTCAAAATAGGGAACTGCATTGACATAATTTTTGTTTCTGATGCGTCAAAGTTAAGGAACATAAGTTACTTTAAAGCTCTATGTAAGATAACGATTTTGTTGTGGAGAATAAATGCCTGTCTGCCTGTGATGTGTATTGCTATGTTGTTAGCACCTTAAACTGTGAACAAACACTCAAAACTTTCAATTATGTGACAATTTACTATGTATGGTACGGTTGTTGTCCATGGGATATGCATAAGTTGAGAAATGATGACCAACTTTTACAAATTATTATGAAAATAATTTCTAATTTGAACACTTGCATGTTTGGGATTTAAAACAACCACGTTCCATCACCACATTCCTATTTTGGACCAATTACTATGCAGACATTAGGATAAGGAGGATGTAATGGACATTGGATGAAATAGCACTGCAGGTAGCACCAGTTATTCACACAATTTGCACAAAAAGTAAATATTTATTGCCAGCGCCGCAAAACCGTACTCCTGCCAACAACAGTTATGTATTATTGGAATTTCTCTTTTGATTTTAAAAAAGTTATAATCAAATTATATTTTAAAAATAAAGAAATGTGAACAAGTACTTTTTGAGTGTTGCTTAAACGCCAGCACAGTTTCTTTTTGGGCATAATATCGCTAATTCTTTTTAAAAATTGAAAATCGAACATTTGATGAGAGGTATTGTTCTGTTTCCCTTCAGTTAATATTTTTACATGATTACCAACATCAATCATTACCGTCACCGGATCGTGAACTAAAGTACGAGTATTACCTTAAGTTGGCCTAGTCCGCGCGTTGCGTTGGTTGCGCGTCTATCATTGGCATCATAGGAAGTCATATATAATACTATACGCCTTTTTGTGCTATGCAAATCTAAACACAAGGGACAGCGTGGTTCGTATAGTCTAAAATTAAACGGTATTCACCCAGGTCTTGGTGTCTAGAACAACAGGAAGTATCATCATGCACATAACAAGTATTACCTTAAGTTGGCGTAGTCCGGCCATGGTGCTTCCTACCTGTTACACTGAGGAAACATCACTGTACACGGGTATCGACGTTGTAACACACTCGGTGATTGGTTGCGCGTCTCTCTTTGATAGTGACACACTCTATGATTGGCTGCGCGTCTATCATTGGTATCATAGGAAGTTATTAATCATACTATACGCCTATCTGTGCTATGCAAACACAAGGGACACTGTGATTCATATAGTCGAGAAACTAAACGGTATGCACCCAGGTCTTGCAGTCAAGAGCAACATCAAGTATCATCATGCACAAAGCAAGTTTGATCAAACACCATCGGAATAAATGACTAACATTCGGAGGTGTTCCTGCATCATTTCCGTTGTCCAACCTGTAAACTCGGACCATACTAGAACGGTGCCCGACATACGTCATTGTTGGGGTCAGGGTCAGAATAGGTCCTCAATCACCAATGGTCATATGTGACGAGTAAACTGGACAGGTTGGTCAGACGCTGTGACGTTGCTGTTAGAGCGTCATTGTACACGATAGTGTATATGGCGTTAGACAACAATCATGTACTCACGATACCAGAGACCTGTTGACAATATATAATGCTTGGTATAAAATCAAGGTGAGTCTATATGCTGTAAAGACGTAACGGCTTGGTAGATATGTTATTGCCATCTGTGCTATTTGCGAGGTGTTTTCAACGTTGGCATATCGTTGTAAGATGAATGAAGATGACTACAATACGGTCACGATATACAGGCAAATGTTAATAATCACATACTTGTCAAGTAAATTGATATGACCACTGTTTGTTTTGTTTGTTCGTTGTTTAACGCCGCACTCAACAATACTCCAGCTATAGGGCGGCGGTCTGTAAATAATCGAGTCTGCACCAGACAATCCAGTGATTCATATCATCAGCATCCATCCACGCAATAGGGATCGATGACATGCATCAACCAAGTCAGCGAGACTGACCACCCGATCCCGTTTGTCGCCTCTTACGACAAGCATAGTTCCTCTTTTACGGAAAGCATGGGTTGCTGAGGATCAATTCTACCCCGGATCTTCACGGGTCGTATAGTTTCTCTTCAAGCGAAATCGGTTTACATGTGCCTGAGTGAGTGAATTAGTGAGTAAGTATGACTTTATGTTGCTTTTAGCAAAATTCCATCAATATCACGGCGAGGAACACCATTATACCCAGACGGGGAATCTGACCCGAGTCTTCGATCTGACGAGTAAACGCTTTAACCACTAGGCTACCCCACCGCCCAGACCATATATATATTTCATATTTCATAGTTTTATCCATATTACAGACTCCTATGACCCTTACCAGAACGCGTGGCAGTTTTTAATTTTCGATTACAGACAAACCCGTTGCAACCCCATTCTTGAATGCTCGTGTCATTTCGGAAAAATCCAAATGGTCTTCTAATGATAGATCTCACAAAGCCCGCTATATTCACCAGCCGCCCCTATTGCACACCCACCAGCAGTTACTGATGGATCTTCATTCTAATCGGGGCGGTCGGGTAGCCTAGTGGTTAAAGCGTTCGCTCGTCACGCCGAAGACCCGGGTTCGATTCCCGACATGGGTACAATGTGTGAAGCCCATTTCTGGTGTCCCCCGCCGTGATATTGCTGGAATATTGCTAAAAGCGGCGTAAAACCATACTCACTCACTCTAATCGTGTCTTTGCGACCCTTGGACTCTGTCACTGCCTGGAGATTAATCATTATTGAACCAAGACGTCAAGTTATAGTGTTAGATGCACAGGATTGAGTGTTTTATTGATCCGTGTATTCCATATGTTGACTCACTTATGTAGACACGTCAGTCGGTAGCTTCATCATTTCTAAATATTGAAATATGTGATCTTGTCAACTATCACGAGCAGTTGCTTGCTGCAACGACTCAGCGTTCAAAGCAACATGTACGCTTGATGGTGCACACCAAAACCCTTACCTTGCATTTCTGGTATGTGATATGTGACTCGTTTCTGATTTGTATACCTCGCTACCGAACTTCTTACCAATGCGAATGCAAGAAGTGACTATATTTTGTCAAAACTGAACACTTATTAAATGCAGTTTAGCGACCATAACCGATGATGGATTAATGGTTTGTTGTTTAACGTCACACTCAGCAATATTCCAGCCGTATGACGGCGGTCTGTAAATATTCGAGTGTGGACCAGATAATCCAGCGATTGATATCATGAGCATCGATCCACGCAATTGGGAGTGATGACATGCATCAACCAAGTCAGCAAGCCTGACCACCCGATCAAGTTAGTTGCTTCTTACGACAAGCAGAGTCGCCTTTTAAGGCAAACATGGGTTGCTGAGGACCTATTCTACCCCGAACTGTAATGAAAGGGTGTTTATGAATCACTTTCAAATAGTGATGATACCAGGTGTTCGAAACAAGGTGAGCGTAGCCTACCCAACTGCTGGCATCCGGCACAAACCCATGCAATCTCATTAAAATCAGACCTTAGTTCATGCTACCGCTAAAGAAAGATCTGAAGACATCCCATTAGGGGTCACGTCAGAACGACCTTTCATCAGACCAGTCAGAGCGTCGCTTACCAGATCATGAAAATGGCAGTCGGAATGTGATTTCTAATCTTACAACCTCGAAAACTTTAACACGGGGTATTCCGAACGATAGTTACGGGTTTAAAGACTGAATCCATTCAACCTAGACCAGTTATTAGCCATTCCAGAATGTTCCTTTGTTCAGGTTTCAAATTTGTAAACGAGAATTTGTCAAAATATGTTTCGAAGCGTAGTCGCCAATTTGAAATTAGTGCCGTAAAGTACGAGAAAGCTGCATTCTGACTAGTCATTCCATTGGTCGGTCAAAGTTCACGCAAGGTCGGTCTGACGTGACCCATAATGGGATGTCCTCAGATCTTTGTTTAGCGGTAGCGAGAACTAAGATCTGATTTTAATTAGATTGAAACCCATGCAAAGGCAAATCAATTGTTCACCTGAAAACGCTGAGAAAGATCACTGGTTAAATAAATAAGATCAATAACACAAGTGGCTTAGCTAAGCAACTGTCTTCCAGTTATAAAATGAGAGTACATGTAGCTAAAACACTTTGACAACATACCGACCAGGTGCGAAGACAGCCAATCAAATCGGCTGCAACAAATTAACACCTGAGTCAATTAACTGAACACGCTAATGATTGAATAATCTCTGCTGGGTTAAATAACGGGAAATAAACTCAGAGGGCCCATCGCTAAAATAAGTCACTTGGACTATAAAATAGACGAGAACATCTGAATATCAAACTAATTTAATCGACCAAAGATTCAGTCTCTTTGGCTGAAACAAGGAAAGACTAAAATACATACAAAAAAAACACTGGAAGGTTGGTTATCCATCGATTCAACCCCCCAAAGTACCAGATTCTGTTCTTTACAAAGAAAGTGGTATCCCAAATATAACATTTGTCACATTTGATCTCTTTCTAAATGGCATTGTGTGTTCATGACAAAATAAAAGTCAGGCGGGAGCTCGGATCCAGATAAATGAATGTTATCGTTCTTAACTTTCAGGCAAGGCAACTGTAGCGTATAACTAATTGGATGACGTACAAGCTGGGGATTACCAACAGGTTAAATCAGCTATTCTCAGGGCTTATACTCCTCCCCAACCCCATCGGCATCTATTCCAAATCTCAAAATTCCCAAATTCTATATAAGCAACCCCTAAACCCCACTCTTGGGTTGCACAGACCACTTTCGCCCCTTTCGGAAAAACATGAAATGGCCTGGCCGGGCCCGTGTGCGAAATACGCATTAGTCGGAAAGCGCACGTTAAATCTCCAAAGTAAGTAAGCTTATAAGGTGACCAATAAAGCGTATCATCAGCAATTTCAAGGTCTCAAGAAAGCAGGTTCTGAGAGTTACGCCGAGTTTATTGCTAAGAAGGGCCACGTGTTCGATAAGTGGACTAATGCAGAGTTTCTTAAAGAGATGTCTGAACTTAGAGATTTGATGGTGTTAGAAGAGGTCAAGGATAGTGTGCCGCCTGGTTTGGAAATTCTTGTCAGATCAGAAAGTTGTCAGAGGTCGCTGAGCGGTCAGACAATTATGTTTTTTCTTGTTCACAAGGTTCAGTCAACAGGTGGATGTCTTTCTCACAATGGAGCGGGTTTCCGTAGAAATGGCAATTTCAATCATTGTAATCTTGTTCCGTATGGTAGACTTACTAATGGCAATGTCAGTTGTGGTCAAAGTCGTGGTCTTCGTAGTGGTCAATTTGCTCAAGCTAGTTGGTTGGTTGGTTGTTTAACGCCGCACTCAGCAATATTCCAGCTATATGACGGCGGTCTGTAAATAATCGAGTCTGGACCAGACAATCCAGTGATTGACATCATGAGCAATTGGGATCGATGACATGCGTCAACCAAGTCAGTGAGCCTGACCACCCGATCCCGTTAGTCGCCTTTTACGACAAGCAAAGTCGCCTTTTACGGCAAGCATGGGTTGGTGAAGACCTATTCTACCCCGGAATATTTCACGGGTCCTCAAGCTAGTGGTCAGAGTGGTAGTCAAATGGAAGCAAGGGTAGTTCGTCTGCTCGAAGTGTTAGCCAAGGTATTACTCCAATAGTACACACGTCTAGATGTAGTTATTGTGGCATGTCACACCACTTGGTCGTAGATTGTTTCAAACGGAGAAGAGATAATCAGTCGCAATAGGCTTTGTTCAGACTGCAGCAGTCGAGGAAGGTAGAGAGATGGACGGTCCAGTTGGTTGCTATGGTATGTATGTAGTGGTCAGATGTGTTTACTAGGAATATCTGACCCGTGAAGATTCCGGGGTAGAAATTGTTGGTACTGTTAATCCTCCACCTACTATATATATTCTGTACAATGTCCCTCATTCAGTCTTGCTTGACAACGGTATAAGGATCTATACTGAAACCTCGCTTTTCACAGTATTAAAGAAGTTGTTATCCATAAAATTGTGTCTATCTTGTCATCCGTCAACTTCTAAGTAATGCCTATCAAACAAGTCTATGGTAAAGTTTTGCCGCTTTATTTACACAAGATGACAAAACATTAATTGAGTAACTAGACCTTTTTCTCAGTGTGTAAACAAAAATTACTTGAGACATGAATTATGAAAAATTAGGTTAGAAACAATGTCTGTTGCATAACATCGATGAAGTATAATAAAACAAAAGTATTATCAGGCCAATGTTGTGTGGAATTGAGATGGGGGAGCAATTTAGTGGCTCGTACACGCGACTGTTTAATTATTCGTTTATGACTCCATGAACTAGCAAAGTCGCGACGGATTTCCCATGTTTCTCATGCAGTATACAAAGGCGACTCCCATAGTATAAATACAAACTACAAATAATATTTTTGATATATATAATAATATATTTTTATTACATGTAGTAGATCACTATAATGTGTAGTAATACTATTTTAATTATAATATGTTTGAATTACGAAAATCTGTAAAATCTGTAAAATAGTTTTGGCATTGAAGCGATAAAACCCCTTTTTTATACTGTTCAACGTTCATTACACAGACATACATGTACAGGGTTTTCATGAAATATCAGTGTCATAAAAAGACAGATCGACGTGTAACACTGATACTCATCGGCGTGAGGTGAGTGTAATCGAAATTATATGTTAAAAAATAAAAAATAAAACAGGGCTAATGTAGGGAACGTTAAAAAAAACTACACGTCATTAGTACAAACGAATGGACACTTCACGGAACAAAGAGTTTATTATTTACCACTTCACCACCTACTCAGTTCCAAATAGTTTTTAAAATAAAACTTTAAAAATCCATTTCGCTGAAAAGAAAGTGATTAAAACATATCTTACAGATATCAATGTTGTTGTCTGCATTACCTGAAAAAAAATTATCATTTGGTGATCTGATTTTCTCAGAAGAAATATTCAGCAACAGCTGAGCCCTTTTTACGGTTCCGACTATATCATATGCATATGTTTACGAATCACTAACAACTAGTGAGGATACCGGGTGTTCGCGAAAAAGTGAGTGTATCCATTCCCATCGGTGGCTACCGTCACAAACACATGCAAAGGCAAGTCAACTGTTCGCCTAAAAAAAACACGGGAACACAGCGAAGCGAAAGGGGGAGCGTATCCTGTCCCACCGGTGAGTGGATCTATGGTCACCACGTGTTGTGCGAAAGGATCAGGGAATGGTCCTTTTCCGAGACTGCAAAAATTCAAGAAAGGCATTTGAGTTTTGAGAATCCAAATGGTTTTAATTCCACTTGACTGAAATGCTTTCTAAGAACCGTTTGATGGTGACTCATACAGATGTGGACATGCATTTGGAGCATTGGATTCTGAGAAACACGAGAAACACGTTTTTGCATGAGATAATAAGTCGTTTAAATATTTCATCTTCCGAATATCGACCTTTATCATATAATGGGTAGGTTTCTCGGCAGGATAAAGCCAACGGATAAAAACGATATCCGTTGGGGTCATATGCGGATAGAGATGCAAATATCAAAGGTCAAGTAGGGACTACTTTCACTGTTTATAAACAAACATGGCGTCGCCCTTGTCATTCGGGGATCGAGTCAGAATTAACCATCGGGAATCTGGATAAACTACAGGTATAATTGCTATCATTATCAAAAGAACAGTCTAATATACTGAAAATCTGTGTCTAACTGTGACGTAGCTAAGGCATTTTATAAGTTTTGTCAACTTTGGAGATATAAATTTCGAAACAATTTGACTAGGGCACGAGGCCTAGCCAAGCGGGATCAGTAGCCATATCTGTGCTTGTAGACCTCTGCGGCTTGAAACCTCCTCCACAAATAAAAATAGTTGGATTTGGCGGAAATCTGTTTGAATTGTTACCTTGTTTCGTTTTGTCGCTGTGTGTACATCTGACTACACTTTTTATTGTAATGACAGGACAGACCGACTGTCAACAACGTCTGACCGTGGCCGTGACGTCTCATAGACTAGGGTTAGAGTAGCTTCCCTTTGACAAAGGGCAGTTACTCTAGCGGACAGACCGATGGATTGCCGCGAAAGGCAATTAAAAACAATTGTTGTTTTGCGTATATGTTGCTTCGCCACTGTATAAGAAACAGATTTCAGTTAGAACTATATTGGCTACTGTCAGTGTCCGACTGACACATCACTTACCCTGTGACGTAATAAATATTAATGCGCGCATTCCAGGAAAACTCGCAATGTTTCGGTAATGTTTGTGAGAGAGCCAAGGCTCGCAAAATACAATGTTTATTCCTAATGCAGGATATTTACCATCCCCAAACACACTCGCGTGATAACCTCTATATATCTCCCGAATAAAATTCCTATGTATTTCGACCCCACAGATATTGTATTCCATATACGTCATTGGAGACAAGCAGAAAACGGGCTGATTGTCTACATGTAGAAGCTGGAATCCAGGAACCAATGAACCCATGATTCTCTTATCGGTGTCTAGCCGGGAGCGCCACATTTCAGAAATGGCTATTGCCGGTAGGGCCACATTTTCAGCTGAGTGCATTTCACCTATTCTAGCGGGTAATTAATTAATCCGATTACCGATACCTTTAAATGAGTGTCCCACATTTAAATTACTAAGCGTGGTGTTCTTTAGAGATACCTTTAAATGAGTATCTCACATTTAAATTACGAAGCGTGGTGGTACATTTTATGCCTGTCCCAAGTTGTTTGATCAGATTTATTGTTTACATGCTGAGGTGTTTGGCCATATGTTTCCATTAGTTTACTGTTTGTTGTCCAATCGAAAAAAAGAGTGTTATGTCAACATGTTTCAGTACCTTTTGCGATTTTGCTAGTAGAGGAGGTCTAGAGTTTGCCCCACTTACAATTCAGTTGGACTTTGAACGTGCAGCTCACAATGCCGTGACTGATGTATTTCCTGGGACATTAGTTAGAGGGTGTTTCTTTCACTTCACCCAATGTATCTGGAGGAGGGTGCAGAAAGAAGGTCTGGTGATGGACTATAAGGAAGATGAGGGGGTGAAGAAGCTGGTGAGAAGAGCTGCTGCCCTCCCTCTAGTACCTCGTGACAAAGTGGATGATGTGTGGCTTGATGCCATTGCTGACTCTCCTGCTGGCCCTAAAGTGACTGCTTTCATGGACTACGTGACAACCAGTTGGGTTCAAGGACAGGCCTTCATCCCAGAGAATTGGAATCACTTCGAAAACCAAGGCCACCGTACCAACAATCACCTGGAAGGGTGGCACAACAAGATAAAGAAACTTGCCAAGAAGTGCCACCCGAACATCTACGAGGTAGTGAAGCTATTTCAGCGAGAGCAGTCACTCAAAGAGGTTGCAGTCCTGAGACTCTCTCACCAGTGGTCAGAACCTTCACGAAGAAAGAAGTACAAGGCAATCGATGCACGTATTGCGTCCCTCAAGATCCAGCTCCTGAACCAACACCTGAGTGAGATGGAATATGCTGACCACGTGGGCGACCTCCTTCATCTGCAGTTATGATCCATTATGATATTCATATGCTATTCATATTCATCAATGTAAAGTTCTGATGAATATGTTATCCTTGTTGAATAAGAAATGAGAAAACAAGACTTGTTTTGTTATATACGGTAACCTGTTAGAATCACAAAGCATGTTTTGACAGCATAGCCGTGAGAGCCACATTATACAATCACGCAACCATAACCATTGCCGGGAGCGCCACATCAATTTGGGCTATCTATTTTCGAAATGTGGCTTTGCCGGCCTGTAACCCTCTTATCTATCACAGAATGAGTTGTAAACGTTCCTCTCTAATAAATATTAGTGCAGATATTTGTTGCGAATATTTAACTGATTTGTTTCCAGTTGCAGCTTTGGTGAAGCAGCACTTAATTATGAGACAGAGACACGAGATTACAGAACAAGTAATCCTGAATGGTATACACTCATAACAGAAGGGTAAATCTTCAGGGTAAGATATGTTATTACCGGAAATCACCATGTAAACTAATTATGTCTTACAGTATTGTTCATAGGATTTATTCAACAGGCCAGTTTCCACGTGGTTTGATTTGTTCGTTGTTTAACGCCGCACTCAGCAATATTCCAGCTATATGACGGCGGTCTGTAAATAATCGAGTCTGGACCAGACAATCAAGTGATTGACATCATGAACATCGATCCACGCCATTGGGATCAATGACATGCATGAACCAAGTCAGCGAACCTGACCACCCGATCGCGTTAGTCGCCTCTTACGACAAGCATAGTCGCTTGTTTCCGGAAGGTTACTGTGTGTGTGAGAGGGGATATTAATGCTGTCCTGTAGTCAATTCAGAGTTGTATCGTACCATAATAGCAATGTGACAGGTCAAAGTTCTTGTAAAACGAGTTAATGTCTGTTTCTAAATGTTTATCAACGCAAGTGCCGAGACACGTGTTCATGTCGACATGTGTTGCATAGTGGAGAATGTAGTACCGTACTGATCAAAAGTGACTTACCATCTTGCGACGTTTTGTTAAGATGCCGCATGGTACTTACTTACTTACTTACTTTGGAGATTTAATGTGCGCTTTCCGACTGATGCGTATTTCGCACATGGGCCCGGCCAGGCCATTTAATGTGTTTCCGAAAGGGGCGAAGGTGGTCTGTGCAACCCAAGAGGGGGGTTTTAGGGGTTGCTTATATAGAATTTGGGAATTTTGAGATTTGGAATAGATGCCGATGGGATTGGGGAGGAGAACTAAGGGAGCTGGGTATGGTGGATGTTTGTTTGTTTATGTGATATGGTTTGGTAGGTTATTGTGTTTTTAGATGCGTTTTATTAGTTCCGTTTTTATTACCGTATGGTGGAATTGTCACCTTTTTATAGGGGTTAGTGGGTGCGTTTATTCACTCAGTTGGGGGTGTTTCACTCCGGTGGAACCATTTCCTTCATTTCAGGGGTATCCCCAGCCTGCATACGATCGCCTGCAGTAGCCTGTCGACGCTCTCTGGCGATAGTGTATCGTAAGTCCCCATGGTACCTAGCATGGTGACCTACCTTTGGTTATTGGTGATCTATAGCCCATTTTTATTGTGTACTGTTTTGAATTGATAACATTTTATGATGATATGCTAGTTTTAAATCTACATCTGTGATAGTGTAGTGTGTTTACAGTCCTTCTACAGATTTTAATGTCTATATTTATGTATTATTAATGTACAGCGTGATTTAGTCATGATATGGCTGAAATATTGCCGATGTGACTATAAATCTTAACTCACGCACTCACTCACTCTGGCGATAGTCCCAATATCACGAAGATTTGTAACCACATTTTCGCCAAAAAGTAGGTTTGGCGTTGATTCTGATGAAGAGGAACACAAAGCTCGAAATTCGGGTTTAATTTCACCTGGCACGGCTTATTGGCGTCTGTGAACTGATCACTGTTTGTGGTTCCAAGCAACCAAAGCGCGTCGACCAAGCACTTCTGGGTATCGCTAAAAGTTTTTTTATCCATTTCGGACTTTTTCCGAAATGGGATGTCCAAAGCACGGGAAACATGGTCAACATTCTGTGCGTATGCCGAGATGTTATCCCACAAAATCTTGTTTAATTCCGGAACGTCAAGCACATCACAGTTCTCGGGCTTGCGATACGATTTTATGCGCTCTTCATTGAGCTTGTCGCCATCGCAAGAAGTTTTCAAATCAAACAAAGTTTTGATGATGTCTGCCAACTTGGGGTCAATAGGCTCAGAGTATCCCTCAGTAAGTCCGAGACTTTGTCTAAAGTAACAGAATTCATCATCCTCATGTGGAATAATCGCATAATAATGCGAGGGTGAGTACATTTTCCCTAATGGGTCAGTAATAATGTCCCTAGCGTTGGAACACAGTCCCTTGAAATTACGAGTCAATTGTGAGGATTTAATATTATCGTCTCCACATTCGCCCAATTTAATTTAAATCAGACCTTAGTTCTCGCTACCGCTAAACAAAGACATGGGCGGATACAGCTTTTTTGAAAAGGGGGGGTGCTCAATTGAGATCTATTTATTGTCTTGGTGGTAATTTATACAGAAATAAAGAATTTTTTCAAAATAAAGGGGGGGGGGGGGGGGGGGGGGGTCAGAACGACCTTTCATCAGACCAATAAGAGCGTCGCTTACCAGATCATGAAAGTGACAGTCGGAATGTGATTTCTAATCTTACAACATCGAAAACCTTAACACGGGGTATTCCGAACGATAGTTACGGGTTTAACGACCGAATCCATACAATCTAGACCATCTATTAGCCATATCAGAATGTTCTTTTGTTCAGGTTTCAAATTTGTAATCGAGAATTTGTCAAAATGTGTTTCGAAGCGTAGTCGCCAATTTGAAATTAGTGCCGTAAAGCACGAGAAAGCTGCCTTCTGATTGGTCATTCCATTGGTAGCGAGAACTAAGATCTGATTTTAATAAGATTGCACATTCGCCCAACTCATACTCCGGAAAGTAATCGTCCTCTCCATAGGAATGAACTTGTTGACTGTTAAGTTTCTGTTCTACTTATTTGAACGATGACCGCAGTTGCGAAAGCCCCTCCGACATTTTCTTTAGTTTGTCTAGCATTAGTGCCATTCATGTTACCGAATGCGAAGTCCCTGCTTTAGCTACACTGTCCCCCGAACTAGTAGAGGGTTTAGAGCTCGAATAACTCGTAGATTTAGACGTCTTTGCTTTAGATTTTCCCTTGGGTGTAGATCTGTGCTCCGCAGAAATCGTATTACGAACGTCGTCCCCATCATGGCAGCCGACACGGTCAACCAAGAGGTAGGTCAATATTCAAGTGGAAATTCTGACAACTCCGCAGGTTGTCAAACGGTAAACCTTCTATGAATGCGATCACCTCGGGATCGTAAAAAAACCAGAGTAATTGGCAGCAAATTATCCTAAGAAAATTTCAACTCGGAGAACGAAATGTATCCCATCTCCGCCATGAGGTCGCACTGGTCTACGCATGCGCAGTTGCAATCTCATGGGACCCCTGAATCACGTGACTGGATTGTAGAATTAAAATATTGACCTCTTTTTCAACTTTGCAATATTAAGATAAACATTCTTATATCAAATAACATTTTAACATATTTATGATAAAAAAAAAATTGTTATAAATTTTCTGTTAATGGTGAAATAGTAATCTGAGTAATCTATGACAGTGAACAGAATTATTTTCTTTCATATTTTTTAATAATTAACTTTCCCGTGAAGATCAGGGGTTGAATAGGTCTTCAGCAACCCGCGCTTGAACTAAAGGGCAAGTATTACTGATCGTAAGAGGCGACGAACGGGATCGGGTGGTCGTATCGTATCCCAATTGCGTGGATCGATGCTCACGTTGGCTATCACTGGATTGTTTGGTCCAGACTCGATTATTGACAGACTGCCGTCATAAAGCTGGAATATTGCTAAGTGCGGCGTTAAACAATAAACAATAAATATATCAAACGACAAGGATAGTCGCTTTTTACGGCAAGCATGGGTTGCTGAAGATCTATTTAGCAACCCATGCCTGCCGTAAAAAGCGACCGTGATGTCGTAAGATGATCCTGTGCTGTATTGTGTGCACGTCATGTGTACTGGCCCAAGACCTTTCATACAATTAATATTTGAATTGAACGGCGCTCAGATTTCATTCTGATATTTAGGTTGCCATATATTGCCGACACGAGTAATGGGCGACTTCAGAGCACTGGATTAGAGACGTGGAAGCTACACCAGTGCTGCCCTTTGTTCCAGCTACGGCTTGTATAATGTCATATGAACTGTCATCTTCCCGAGGCAAGAGAGTTAACTGACTATAAAAGTCCAGTTTCCACCCTGGCCGAACTAGGCTGGAATTACTGGGTTCGATCGTAGCGCCGCCAGTGGCTATTACCAGTTATCTCTCTTTTAAGCCTCTCCTATGGGCCAATCAGATTCCACCTCTCGTATCACTTGCGCTTGCTTCCCACAAAATGGTGGCGCCCGGTCAAGACGATCTGATCGATAATCAAGATCTATATTGTGATAAAACGGGTTTTACATCGCGAATGCATCAAATCACGTGAGCACCTTGATTAAAAACATGAAAGGATTTGGAAAATATCTGCTGACAACGAGTAGGCGGTGCACATGTTTTGCAAATCCTGCAATCGACCGAAATCTGCACGAAAGTTTACGAACCTGATTTCAATTCCGGTGTGCGAATTTGATTGGACTATGCATAGACTCGTTAGTCCAGCCAAAATGTAACTCCATAATACCAGCCTAGTTCGGCAAGGGTGGAAACTGGACTTTTATAGTCAGTTAACTCCCTTGCCTCGGGAAGATGATGAACTGTCAGAGTCAAACACGCGGATAGTATTAATTTACATATACGTACATTATCCTGTGCTGTTTTGTATGCACTTTTTGTGTAATGGCCCCGAGACCTTTCATACAATTAATATTTGAATTGAACGGCGCTCAGATTTCATTCTGATATTTAGGATGCCATATATATTGCCTACACGGGGAGTGGGCGACTTCAGAGCACTGGATGAGAGACGTGGAAGCTACACGAGTGGATAGAATAATTTACATTTACGTACATTTTGCTGATAATCGACCATAAAAAATGCATATTGCCTATTTTCCATGCGGACCTTTTACATGACATTGTGTTCACTATATTTATGCTTTACATTAATATTAGGAATAATATTATCTGGATTATTTTACGATTCCGACTATAACATAAGCATGGGTTTATGAACTACTAGCGAATAGAGATGATACAAGGTGTTCGCGAATAGGTGAGGGTATCTTGTCCCATCGTTATGTGTGTCTATGGTCACCACGTTTTGTGAGAAATGATCCATGGGTCAAGGGTCCGTGTGGATAGCGGTGGGTGCGTAGAAAAAATCAAATGTTTGACAGAATTGAACTTGATTCTTTGCTGAGACAATCAAAATTCAAGCAAATCCTTTGAGGGTTTTGGAATCCATACAGTATTAATTCAACTTGAAGTGTCTGTGAATATAGAGAAAGTCCTTCCTCTCGGGAAGATATCTGTGGACCTTTAGAAAAAGCCATGTCTATTGCCGAGGGACGAAAATAACTCGCAGTGCAGAGTTACGTCCCTTTGATTGTTGGTTCGAATCCCGATTGGCCCTGATTATGCTCCTAGGTTTTTATTCCCGTGAAGATCCGGGGTAGAATAGATCTTCAGCAACCCATGCTTGCCGTAAAACGCGACTATGCTTGTCGTAAAAGGCAACTAACGGGATCGGGTGGTCAGGCTCGCTGACTTGGTTGATGCTTGTCGTCGATCTCACATTGCGAGGATCGATGCTCATGATATCAATCACTGGGTTGTCTGGTCCAGACCCGATTATTTACAGACCGCCGTCATATAGCTGGAATATTGCTGAGTGCGGCGTTAAACAACCAACCAACCAACCAACCTAGGTTTTTAAGCAGCATTCACGTGTTCGTGGGTTTCACCAAATTGGAAACCTCCACGACCTGCATAACTTCCCGCTTTCCTCCCACATGAATCTGATGTTACTGAAATACTGTTCGAAACATTAACCCAAACACATCCACCCACATTTGACTGTGTGCTTTCATAGGCATTGGCACAAAGACGTATGTCGGCTGACCGACTGCACTTAAGTGGATGATTTTAACACTTTATGTGAGTGAATTTTGTTTTATGTCGCAGCAATAAGGGACAATGGTTGATTAGGTGTCTTCTTCCCTGATGGCATGAAACGTGTCTCATTATATCAACCACTTGGCTGATTAAACTCGATTATGCATACCGCCGCGATGGCTGCAATACTGTGACGTTCAGCATCAAAGGCCTCGATAAGTCGTCTATGGTCGACGTTCAGATGACTGCACTAAATAACACGTCGCCTGTGACCATGATGGGGCTGCTGTGACCTTGACACGGAGTTTGCACCCCTCTTTACTCACTGGCACTTACTGTGATGGATCGGCTTTGTAGGGCAAGGTGACGTGGCTGATACCGTGGCCATGGTCCCCGACGGCGTGAAACGTTGCTCATAATATCAACTACTGGGTATCTGACTCATACATTACTGACCTCCGTGATAGAGCTACAATAGTGTTGATACCACGTTTAACACATGTCATCGATCCCAATTGCGTGGACCGATGCTCATGATATCAATCACTGGATTTTCTGGTCCAGTCTCAATTATTTACAGATCGCCATCATATAGCTGGAATATTCCGTAAAACAACAAACCAACCAACTACATGTTTAGGTCCAAAGCAATAGCATTACAGAGCAAGTCAATATTGATTTGGTTAACATTGTATATATGTACATGTTCTGACATTTTATAATACAGATCAATATAATACAAATTTCAAATTCAACAGAGAGATAATTTCCCCAGTGCCAAATTGGATGAACTGGAAGCCCCGATTAAATGCGGAGTAGTGAGTGGGTGGGTTGGGTTTAACGCCACTTTTAACAGTATTCAAGTTATATCGCGGCGTGTCAGCTTAATGTGGGAGGAAAGCCCCAAGTGATGCAGGTCTCGGACGTTTACCACTTCGGTGAAACCCACGAGCACGGGTATGGTGCTGACAAAACTAGAAACATAATCGGGGAGAACCGGGATTCGAACCCACATAAATGCGGAGGATGTGCAGCTAAGCATATATTATTCAAGGGAACATCAACCAGGATGATCCATTATCGCCGCCTTGAAGAAAACACCAATTGTTAATTGTTATTTTAAATTTACGATTCATTGTGAATTTGCGACGAATATCGTGCAGACATTCTAAGCTCATCCATGTCAAATGCTAACTGCACAAATCAAGGACGTCAGAGCTTCTATTTTTGCAAATGCCATTTTATAACCATCTGGGTCGAATTTGTTACAAAATTATTAATTCATCGAAAATACCACTCTCGCCTGGCAGTTGTATTTATATTTCACTCCTACATGATTTGATGTCATGGAATACCTTCACGGTGAAAAGTGACTTGAAAACACTGACTGAGAATGGGATGCTGCACGAGGGCTACCCTCTGCTATAGTTAGTCCAGCAATACTAAGCTTTCCTGACCCGTGAAGATCCGGTGTAGAATAGGTCTTCAGCAACCCATGCTTGCCGTAAAAGGTGACTATGCTTGTCGTAAAAGGCGACTAACGGGATCGGGTGGTCAGGCTCGCTGATTTGGTTGATGCATGGCATTGATCCCAATTGCGTGGATCGATGCTCATGATATAAATCACTGGATTGTCTGGTCCAGACTCGATTATTTACAGACCGCCGTCATATAGCTGTAATATTGCTGAGTGCGGCGTTTAACAACCAACCAACCAACCAACCAACCAACCCACGTCAGAAATACCGTTATAGAGGGCTCAGTCACCCACGTGGATATTACGTGTTTACATGAATGTACATCTTGTTGATAATCTACCATACGCATCCATATTGCCTTTTTTTAAAGGAAAACTCTATATGTGCCATTGTGTTTTCTTTAGATATGCATTGCAGCGTAGGGCAGCTGGCGTCATCATTGACTTTCAGTGATCCATTTTTATCATTTTTACTGCTATTTTGCCTTTTACACTCAATAGAATCTGTTTCGGCGGTTCGAGACTGGTTTTCTCTGTCGTTGACGTCTTATCTTCAACTGTTTGAACAATAATGTATTAACGTCAATGATTCACGTATTTCTTATCAATGTTATTGTATTGGAAGCTGTAATATCGACAGGGCCTTAAAGGACGGGGGCTGTAGTCGACGGTCTGCGGTTTATTCGACGTTGTAGTTAGTGACATGAGAAAACTAAGACATGCTGTGACTGCCAATATACACAATTTTAGTATCCCTTTAAATATAAGAGCCAACACCCTTTTCCGTTAGTTGAAAGCAGAGTCCATTGTACGATTCCGATCATATCATAAGCATGTGTTTATGAGTGAGTGAGTGAGTGAGTATGGTTTTACGCCGCTTCTAGCAATATTCCAGCAATATCACGGCGGGGGACACCAGAAATGGGCTTCACACATTGTACCCATGTCGGGAATTGGACCCGGGTCTTCGGCGCGACGATCGAACGCTCTAACCACTTGGCTATCCGACCGCCCCCATGTGTTTATGAATCATAGTGATGATAATGGGCGTTCGAACAATGGAGAGCTTATCCTGCTCAAACGGTGCAAAATATAGTACGTGGAGACTCGGAGTCCAGTATACCATGGTTATAGATTCAAGCATGTTGAAATCTTTCTTGAAATTGTTATCTCAGCAGGTTAGATACCAAGTTGAAATTTCAAGTCATCATCAGGAAATTTCAAGATGATTACAGAGATCAAGATGCGAAGATCAAGCTCCATGACAACGAGGAAGCAACCATGCGGTTCATCGTCAAGAAAGTACGCCCAGAGAAAGTTCTAGTAGATGATTTGATTTTGTTTGTTTGTTGTTTAACGCCGCACTCAGCAATATTCCAGCTATATGACGGCGGTCTGTAAAATAATCGAGTCTGGACCAGACAATCCAGTGATTGACATCATGCGCATCGATCTACGCAATTGGGACCGATGACATGTATCAGCGAGCCTGACCACCCGATCCCGTTAGTCGCCTTTTACGACAAGCATAGTCGCCTTTTACGGCAAGTATGGGTTGCTGAAGACCTATTCTACCCCGGACTCTTCATGGGTCTCTAGTAGATGAAGCGGAAGCTGTTTGTGTGATCCAGTATATTGAATCCTTGCTGTCGTTATGTTACAGTTTGGAACTCCGTAAAATCATCAAGCGTTTTTCTACTGAATTCTGCTTTGGTTGTATGTTTGACGGAGAAGGAGAACACTTGTCGTGACTTGTCTAAACAAGGCAAAGTCAATCAGTTCTTTAACATAGTCATGTCTGAGGTCAATGATAATCACTTGATTCAACTGGTTCAAGACAACACCTCTTTAACACTCGGCATCCACCATATGTCAATATCAATGTACAGATTATCGTAATGCCAAAAAGACAATCTTAATTAATCTTAAGAGCTAACATGTTAAATGAAAGATCTCTCTCCCCAAACATGCCACCCTATAATCTACTGGCAACATAAGCCTCATTCGATTGTGGCAAATACATTCAATCTCTCACCTGTGGAATGAAAACTGAGTTAGGACATATCAATGGCCAGAAACAAGCAGAGTGCCACTCTGGTATCACCAGGGTACCCTTAGCCTTACATTCAGATATTGTGTTTGATTGCCCTCGGAATCAAACATACAGGAGGAACCACCCAGTTCATAACGCCACCCCAGTTGACAGTGAAACAGTCGACAACGTCACTTCCAGAATTGCAGTACTTAAGTTTAGTGTTAAATATGTAGCAAATCTGACTGTTTCATGTGGACCCCATTTCCGTTCAATTTGCTGAAATACGGTTTTGAAATACTCCAATCATCAAATCGATCATTCTACTAAGATAGTCAGCCCTCTGATTATCACATCGTGGAATCCACTGCATATACAACTGTATTGACTGTTTTGTACATATTTCAAATATATGTCAAGCCAAATTTTGCAAATGTATTTTCATACTGCCTTTCTCAATGATTGACACAACGTTTGTATTGTCTGTACACCACATAACACGGTTGCTCTTCAGGTTTGGAATAAAACTCAGTAATGTCAAGTGAACAGCCTTTAACTCCCTCCATGTAGAACTCTGACGAGGTTCTTCCGCAGACCACTGACCATGGGACTTGTCAGAATCACTCTCAACACAGTATCCACCAAAACCACTATCACTGGCATCAGAATAAACAAGTCTTGTAGTAAGAGATTTATCAACAAGTGCTCTTGAAGAATGTTTGTCAAGATTACCAAGCCAAAGTTTCAATTGATGAATACTGTCACATGAAAGCTTTATTGAACCATGTCAAGTAGAAACAATAAGTGTGTCTATACTTAATTATCTTGTCATAAGCTGTGATAACGGCCCCAGTACTAGTTTCATGGACACTAGCCGACCGACAACAGAAGCTACATCTCGCACTGACATTCTTTGACTTGGATTTTAATAGGTCTGTAATTGAACGCTTCACCTTGACTATCTTCCTCTGAGGCACAGATATAGTCATATTTGTAGCCTGAATATGAAAACCGAGCCATTCCAAGGACTGCGATGGTGCCCATAAAGATTTTTAATCAAGTCATTTTTAATGACAGAACCTGAATTCAGTGCTCTTGATTCTGACTGATAATATACCATCAACCAAATAAGTGAAAATCTTATGTCCTTCAAATCTCAACTTCTTGACAAGCTGGCGAGTGACTTTTGTGAAAACGTATGGAGCTGTTGTCAGTCCAAAGGGAAGTACTGCAAACTTATAAATATGTGTTTTTTCCATCAGAGGCATTCCAAGCAAAGCCCAAAAGGTCAGTATATCCTTCGTAGATATCTATATGGTGATATGCTGAATGGATGTCAATCTTGATTAGCCAGTCATTTGCACTGATATGTTCTAAACAGTTTTCAAATCTTTAACTTTCAAAGTCTGTTTGAACACAAACCTGTTAACAATACTCAGGTCATAAATCAAGCGTTTCTTACCCGATGACTGAATAGCGACAGATAGAGGATTAACAACATACAGCGGAGTATCACACTCAACAACTAGTTGTTTCTTGACAAGCTCTGATACAGCTTCACACACAAAATCAGCGTTATTTAAGGCACACTGGTTATTACGTACATTTTGGGTTGCATACACAAAAATGGAAATTTGTATCCATTTTTGATGATATCTAAAACAAAGTCGTTTGCACTTATCTGCTGCCAAAAGTTTTCATTCTGTTTCAAACTTTACCTTTCTGCAGCACCCTGCTCTAGTTATCAGGCAATTTAAGATCATATGCATCTAAACATTGAGTAGATGAACACTTAACTGATAGACCTTGGCCTGTGCCCTCTCTACTGCACGGCGGTTGCTGACGTGACGCTGCTTGACAACCTTGCAGTTTGGACATTTGCGTTGAGATCGGGACAATCTCCTCCGAAGTGGGTGAAAATATGATCCTTGTCGCTGACCTTTACCTCGAAAAAGCTGGTTGTTGATTGGTGGAATCGACTGCACACCAGAAGAAGCAGGTAAAGCAAACTGCACGGGCTGTGTTGTGAAATCCTGGACTTGGCTCCTGGCCTTGTCGGATACTGCGCATTCCGATTTCGTTTTTGCTTGATTTTTTTTACTGCTTTTAATCAGCCCTTGTAATCTTCTTATCATCGTCAGGAACATCTACCTAATCGTTTGTCACGTAGTTTCGGCCTGTTTCCCAACCACCTTCTGATGAATCTGCAATCTTGATTAGCTTGTTCCTCTGCTGTAATCTCTGGATCTCTGAACCAATAGCACTCCGCTTCTCATAAAGTTCCAGAGTATATTAACTGTCTGATTTTGTTCAACCCGTCAACACATTCTGTTGAAGCCAAATTGAATTTTGTTTCCCTCCTGTGACCACCTGTATTCTTTTCTGCTTTTATTTTCCTGACGCCTTTCCGTAACTTTTGAATCTATTGCCAATTCAATTTCTGTCTTGTTTGAATTTAGCTGATCCAAGATGGCGTCTAGTTTTGTCGAGGTTGATATTTCATCAGTCATGTTGTTAATTGAACTGCCTTGAGAGCAAACGAGAGGGGCGACATCATAAAACCCTCCCCTTATATACCTCCAAATGACAGCGCCATCTACCCTGCATAATTACCTCCCTTGATTAGAGAACGTACCACTAGGAGAAAGTAGTTTCCCTCTAATTTAATACTTCAAACGAGGGAAACATCATTTGTATAGCGACGTGCACGTACGTGTGTGTGGCTGCTTGCACTAGTCCGGACTGATGCCGATTTATAGTGCTAGCTCACTGATATACCATGTCGCAGTTTAACATGAATATTCCACTCAGACACAGTATACTGACTCTGAGCCGACCAGTCCTTGCTTTAGCCCCATAATGCCGAGCGCCAGACAGGGTAACAACAAGTACCATCTTTAAACGTCTTTTGGCATGACGCGGCCGGGGATCGAACCCCGGATCTTCCGCTCTCAGGGCGGGACACGGAAGCGGTCTATTTTTAGACAAATCAGGGTTTCGAACAAATGATCGCATTGTCAATCACAACAAACTCAAGTAATCACAGTGAATTGCGGCAACAAAGACCTCTAACCCGCCTGTGCTCGAAAATATATAGTAAGTGAATGAGACAAATCTCTTGTTTGGATATGTCATGACGACCTGATAAAATTCGTGTATTAACCCAACAGCATTCAAAAGCTATTTGATAACAGTCGAAGCTGTTTATTGATGATACAACCATCTATTCATATTGTGCATTAGAAAACGAACCACCGCGTGTTGTGTGAGTCGTACAGAGCGCAATTGTTGTACAATGAATGTCCATTCAGTCCATTATCGGGAAACCTACACTTCTCATTCGGATTCTCTGCCTGTACTCGTGTCAGTCGAATATATGACTGGATTGGACACGTTTCCGGGTAAGTAGAGGTGAGGTGAAATGGGGATTTAACGTCGCGTTCAAGATTATTGGACTCGTGTGGCGACGTGCATGCACGTGTGTGTTTGTGGTCTATATGTCTGTGTATTGCTGAATTTGGCGTCCAACAACAAACACCCCTGTAAAACGAAAGTACAAGGTATGTAGATTCAGAAAAGGTTGCATTACCACCCCACTGAACCAACATTCAGCGGACCAATACACACGGGCTTTTGGTGGATCGATGCTCATGATATTAATCACTGGATTGTCTGGTCCAGACTCGATTATTTACAGACCGCCGTCATATAGCTGGAATATTGCTGAGTGCAGCGTTAAACAACAAACCAACCAACAACCAACCAATTGCGTCGATCGATGCTGATGATATCAATCACTGGATTGTCTGGTCCAAACTTTATTATTAACAGACCGCCGTCATATAGCTGGAATATTGCTGAGTGCGGCGTTAAACAACAAACCAACCAAACAACCCAGTTATGTGGATCGATGCACATGATGTCAATCCCTGGTCAGGCGGGGAATAGGTATGATGACCGATCCGCACATGAAAACTGGTACCGACGCAATGAAAAACGTGAGCGATGTAATGTGTTAACCTAGTAACGTCAACCTAGCTTCCAGAATTTTTTAGACCTTGCTGCAAGGCTCTATACAATGCTTGACGAGTCTCGCCATTTCCGGAAGTTACCACGCCACTCTTGCATCTATATATAGTATTTTCCTGACGACTGCTTACCTTAAATAGTACAACATTCCTGACGACTAATCACTGCCCAAATACAATGCAATGAGCGTCTACCGAATCTCAACAGAAACAATGTAACAGTTATAATCATTGTTAAACAATACTATACACTGCCATATAACACATGCTCCCAACAAACACGCAAACATCCAATGTGCAAATTGTTAATCACGATCTTAAAATTGAGATCTCTTCATGCATATGTATTGAAAGATTTATTTATTTTTAGATCCATTTAGATTGAACTTCATATGAAACAGTGACTTGTTTCTGTTAGTGTAAGATTGTTCACGATGCATTTGATAATTTCTTTTCAGTTAGTTTGTCTAAAACTTCATTAGACTGGATTTAAGTGGATTTTATTTTTACAGTAGGATTACCTAAGAGGTCTTCATAATGACAGAGGTGGGTGAGATTGACACAATGATCACTGAGGTAAGGGTCTGACCATTTTATATTCGGGGGGTGGGGTGGAGGGGTGGGTGGGGGTGGGGGTGGGGGTGGGGGATTAGATAATTACTCAGCAACACCTACAAAACAAGATGTTTCTTTAATAAATGTTTTTTACACAAACATACTTGCAATAATGTAGTGTTTGTGGCTGACAATTTCTTCTTTTTTTCAACAGTCTACAATGATTTATTTGTCAGCACTATCCCAACTCACATGAAGGTGACAAGCTGTGATATACATTGAAACTGATATGATGTTCACAGCCGCCTTAATCCGACCTCACTCACTCATCGTGAAACTTTTTTTTTCAGGACAGAAATGCGATCATCCAGGGGGACGACAAGCTTGAAGAATTTGAACAGAGAGCGGAAGAACTCGAGGAAGTGACCACCCTTCTTTTTAAAAAAATAGTAAGTCATTTATGATAGTCATAACGGGCAAACGGGCATTTTCTCACTGGAAGAAAAGGAAACATTTCTTAGCTTGGAAAGATCATGGAAAGACTGGATTTGGCAACATGTCCTTGACGGAAATACGGATCTTACCAAGATTGGGAAATACGGATCTTACCAAGATTTCCAATAGTGAGGTTTAAGAGCAGCAAACATTTTACACGAAGATTCCAAGAAAATCACCACCTCTTTAAAACCTTCCATAAATCTCAAGACATTTTCACAACTTTCAAAATATTTTAAAATGTTTGGAATAAAAGCGACAAACCCCTTTCCATATTCATAAGAAATGTGTGAATATAAGAAATATGAAGTTGTGTAATGTAGCCACGAAAGGCTGGAGCTGCTGGAATATTGCTCGAGATAAAGGGAAAGTCGACCATAGGAAAGTTGATGTCCTGCATCTAGTCCTACATTCTTCTGAGGAGTTTGTTTGTCACTTTGAATCTGTATGCATAGATCTTAATATGAAGCAGATGAAGTGGTCTCACTGATCTCTTTTATTTCAGTAAATCGATGGAAGGGAATTGACAGGTTTATGGTCATTGAACAATATCAGATCATCAATATACCTGAAGCTTAAGTTAAACTTCTCGGCCACATTACGCTGTTTTGACTTTGCCAAAAAGGGGGCTGAAATACCGATTCATATGCATCCATATCTGTATACATCCCTATATAAACAGTCCATATTACAAAACAGTATATTGGAGTGAGTGAGTGAGTGAGTCAGTGAGTATGGTTTTACGCCGCTTTTAGCAATATTCCAGCAATATCACGGCGGGGGACACCAGAAATGGGCTTCACACATTGTACCCATGTCGGGAATCGAACCCAGGTCTTCGGCGTGACAAGCGAACGCTTTAACCACTAGGCTACCCGACCGCCCCACAATATATTGGAATGTTTATACTTCATTTGTGTTTTCTATTCAATATAACATATTTCATCGGACCAGGTGAATTTACACTTTTTATTATGGGAAGACATGCTACACATTAGTATATTTGAATAGTGTATGGAATGATGGCCAGAAGTTAAACAAATAAACAATTGTTTTAGTTGTTTCATAGTATTTGAGTATTTGTCTTTGAATCTGCTTAAAATTAAAACTTAATTCATTTCTACTTTGCAAATTAAGTTGTTTTGTGATTCAAGTTATGACATTCACTGGATTGATGTGTTTTCCTTTAAATCCAAATACAATATTTCCTTTGTACATTGCACCGTTCCTCCCGTTATATTCCCAAGCCAGCTGGTCACTAACTTCCATATACTTACAGATTGAGATCATTCACAAACCATATGATTTTTTTTTTTCATTCATGTCTTTGCTGTTTGTGCATAATGTTGGTTGTTTGTTTGTTGTTTAAAGCCGCACTCAGCAATATTCCAGCTATATGACGGCGTCTGTAAATAATCGAGTCTGGACAACAGACAATCCAGTGATTGACATGAGCATCGATACGAGCAATTGGGATCGATGACATGTATCAACCAAGTCAGCGAGCCTGACCACCCGATCCCATTAGTCGCCTCTTACGACAAGCATAGTCGCCTTTTCCTGTACCGCCGGTGGCACCCGTCACAAACACATACAATGGCAAGTCAGTTGATCGCCTGAAAAAACAAGGGAACATTAAGCACAAGTCAAAATAGGGAATTGCATCGGACATCAGTTTTGTCAATGTTATGCTCATTTCTCCATAAAACATTTTGAAAGCTTTTCTGGGGCCTCGAATGATGTAAACCTTGATCAAACAGCTTCTGAGTTAGAGTCGTGTGGGGCTCTTTGAAATCTTGGTAGAAAGAGCATGCTCAAAATGGTGGAACTGCTGGCATATGTCTCGACATAAAGGGAAAGTTAATTATTGTAAAGTTAAAGAAAAAAATCTTATACAGCCTCTTCATGCATAGATCTAAATATGAAACAGACGAGGCGTTCTCACTCGTCTCCTATAGTTCTAGATCAGGTGGGTAAATCAGTGGAAGGGAATTGGCCATTTGATGTCAGATATCAGATCATCGATAAACATGAAGCTCAAATTAAATGTCCTAACCAACTTATCTTGTTCTGATTAATATGCATAAAGAATCAGATCTGCGAGAAGGAGAGACCATGTATATGCATATTTCCTGCCTAAATGTCCTACCCCAAAATCTAACATAGGTTTTACTATATAGAAAGTCCAACATTTCAGAACCATTCAAAGACTCAAGTTGGTCGTCGCTGTGAAACACCGAAACAAAAAAGTTGGAGGTCGCTATGCTGCTGTAGCTGTAGTGAGCCTCGAGAAGACGCCCCAGGAGAAGAGATAAAGACATAACCGAAGGTACGTTTTATATTCTGTGAATGTTGGACGATATAATGGAGTCACGACAGCACGATCAACACCGTCAGGGTCATGTTCAGTCAGATCACACATTAGACACACCTGATTCTGATGAACCGCCTCCTCCCAGATCAACGTCATTGAATCCTCCAGAGACTATTATGTTTTGAAGATATGTTCAGATTCAAAATATTTTGCCCAAAGGAAAACCTTCGATCCAGAGGTTGAGACATTTGCGTTTTCGTTTTTTCGTAAACCTAAAGAGACTTTGAATAGATATTATTTCATATTCCAGGTGGTGATAATGGATAAATGCTGGCAGACCACACAGCCTAAACATTTAACTGGGGCCTCCATCTGCATCCAATTTCGCACTGGGGAAATGTATCTCTGCGGAAGTAAATAGGAAGGAAAGGTTCACACTTGCAACAGATCGGGCTTGTCATGCAATACCAGACAGTTTGTTCTTGTACTGATCTGAAAGAGCTAGAGCTGTTTCACAATGTATATTTGTATTATTAAATGCCAGAAGAATATTTCCATACACAGTGTTAACCAAATCATTAGAGACTTTGTAATTTTGTTACCCGTAAAGATCCGGTGTAGAATAGGTCTTCAACAACCCATGTTTGACGTTAAAATCGACTTTGCTTGTCGTAAGAGGCGACTAATGGGGTCGGGTGGTCAGGCTCGCTGACTTGGTTGATGCATGTCATCATATCCCAGTTGCGTTGATAGATGCTCATGATGTCAATTACTGGATTATCTGGTCCAGACGCGGTTATTTACAGACCAACTTCTTTGATAGGCATTTAGAAGTTGGAGTACTACGTGACAACCCAAGCCACAGCATTCAGTGGGATAAAGTCAAAGCCCTCACCACCAACCTCAAAGACTTCAAATTCAGAAAACTACGAGAAGCCATCAACATCAAAGACCCCAATCAGCCATAATCCTGTTGTTTATATTACTGGCTTCATTCTTTGTTTATGTCACTGACTTCACCGATGATTGTCTTTACTACCCTTGTGTGTACATAACAGGCTTCTCCACTCGAGTGTAACTACATCTGATGCCTAATCTACTGTATAAACATTCTCAAACAACTTTAGGCTTTGTTATCGAGCCATAACTCTCAAACTAATAAAACTATGCAATGACCACATGGTCCACTGTTGCCTTTTCATGTTTGTCAATATTTTATGTTATTATTGTGTTTCCATGGACACAATGTAGATTTAGTCTCAATTACTAGCGATTGTTTCCCGCCAAATCAATAAAGGTAATGAATGTTTCTGAATGAAAACCATTATCTTTCCCGGCTATACTTTACTAGTATGGTGTTTCGAATGTATCAAAAAGGAAGGGGAGACATCTGCTTTTATGAGTACAAACACATCATAGTATGACGGTGTGTAAGGAAAGCTATCTTGATGGAGCAAAGGGTAACCACGTCTCTCCCATCCAGTGCTTTAATGTCACTTTGTCCTGCGTTAACAGTGTTTTACATGCATATATATCAGAGTGAAATGTGAGAGTCATGTAAAATATGAATGCATCTTGTTAAACGAGACTGGTATTTTTTATCAATAAAAATTGCAGTGGTAGGAGAATCATAAGTTCCCGCTTGTAAGTGTAGACAGTCAGGCCGTTTCCTTTTTGTCACAAACCGCTACCCATGTGGTATGTTCACACAAAGGCCAAACGTATGTGGAATATAATATCATTGGAGTTGAAATATACTACTCACAGTTTGCTAAGGATCAAGGTTTCATATAAAAAATCATCAATCAAGTAAAGATTGAAAACTCCAGGTACACATTAGTTGGGTAGCCCCTCTAGGACCTCAATGTCCTGATGAACGAACAGAGGCATGCAGTGATGGACACGATGTGTGCACAAAGTGCTTGAAAATCTTTGTTTGTTAGAATCGTGACAGAAACTTTGCTCTTCATTATCAGAGAACACAACATTTGCTACTGAGGATTGCAAAATGAATTCACTTATGCCCCCTTAGCGCCAAAGACGTCGTTTGATGGCCGAAGAGATAGACAGATTCATAGGCATGCTTGAAACTTGGTAAACACAACGTCACGATGCAAACGTCTTTGGTGTCAGCCAAAATGTGATCAGCAGGGCATGGAATCGACACCAGACGTTTGGATTAGCTGCCCAGCGACATGCAGTTGATCCACAGCCTCCACCGTACAGGGGAAAGACAGGTTTCTCCTGATTGCCACCAGTCGTCATCACTTCGTGACTGCCACCACACTCAGAAATGACCCGCGGAACGCCAGTGGCGTTAACGTTTCTACTCGGACAGTGCATAATCGTCTCCGGTCATGGAGGGCATGCATTCGCATCCCAGTGACACGCCAGGGGTCCAGTACAATATACTGTCTAGACAAGGAGAAAGTTTTCAGGATTCGAACGTAGGGCTCAATCATGATTTGGGGTGGGATCTGTAGAGCTGGAAAACCTCATCTACATGTCTTAGAGTGGGACACGATGACAGGAGTGCACTACGTGGATGACATTCTGGATGCGTACGTGAGGCCGTATGCTGGTGCAATCGGATCGCACATCCTCTTAGATGATAACGCACGACCTCTCGTGCCAGGGCCGTTGATGCCTACTTAGAGCAGATCATTATCCGCATGAAGTGACCAGCCCGATCACCTGACCTCAACCCTATCGAACACATGTGGAACGAGCTGCAGATCCCCCTCTCACGACGCCCTGTCCTCCGGGAACTCTACAGGAACTTGGCAGTGCTCTTACTGAAGAATGTAACATTCTTCCCTTGGCGACCATCCAGACACTTATTGGGAACATGAGACGCCAGGCTGAGATCGCATCACGTGGATCACAGAGCTACAGAGAGCTACATATAACATTAAAGAAATTGATAATAAATTGGACTAGGCTGTCAATAGCATCTATAGAGTAATCCTTCTCCAGTCAAGTAACTTTAATCCTCTTCAGACCTTTAATTGAAATGTAATTTCTGCGACTGAAATATCTGTGTTAAGAACTTTAGTATGGGTTTTGTAAATGAATTTGTTTGGATAAAACATTGATCAGACGAATGACAAAACAGTATGCTCTTATGTTCAACAATATAACACTGAGTGACAAAAATGATGCCAGATGCAATTCCCTATTTTGGCTTCTACCATGTGTTCCCGTGTTTATGCAGGTGAACAATTGACTTGCCTTTGCATGTGTTTGTGACGGATGATACCAATGGGGCAGGATACGCTCACCTTTTCGCGAACACCTGGTATCATTACTATTTGATAGTGATTCATAAACACATGCTCATGATATAGTCGGAATCGTACAGTCGACTCTGCTTTATGCAGAGATTTCTATTGGATATGGTAAGGGTTTTGTCGCTTTGTTTATTGTAAATCCTTTTTGTCAACCTATGACAGGCAGTGTGTTCTATAAATGATCAGATAGAGCGGTTCCTCAATGTAAAGTTGTGTTATCAAATGTCACAACATTTCCATACACAATGCTAACCAAATCAATATTGACTTTTAGACCTGTATCACCAATACATGCCCCTCCCTAAACACGCATTTTCCATCTTCTCGAAGCAAGGGCGTTAACTGTCTATAAAAGTCCAGTTTCCACCCTTGCCGAACTAGGCTGAAATTCCGGAGTTGACTAACGAGTCTATGCACAGTCCCATCCCGTGAAGATCCGGGGTAGAATAGGTCTTCAGCAACCCATGCTTGCCGTAAAAGGTGACTATGCTTGTCGTAAGAGGCGACTAACGGGATCGGGTGGTCAGGCTCGCTGACTTGGTTGATGCATGTCATCGATCCCAATTGCGTGGATAGATGCTCGTGATGTCAATCACTGAATTTTCTGGTCCAGACTCGATTATTTACAGACCGCCGTCATATAGCTGGAATATTGCTGAGTGCGGTGTTAAACAACCAACCAACCAACCAACTATGCGTCCAGTCAAAATAGCGTCACGAACCAGACATCCGGTTCGTAAACAACATAATTGCAGCCTGAAGATTTTGGTCTACTGCAGGATTTGCAAAGCAAGTGTACCGTCAACTGATTTTGTACAAGCCATTCCGGCGATGACTTACAGTAATGACAAAAATTGCAAATTATGCTTTTCAAGAAATATAATTTTTCCAGCGATAAATGTCATCATTGAGTTCAGATCACGTGGTTACAGTCCGACTAAGAATCGGCAGACAGGTGACTGCAAGTGGCTATATATAGCAGCGTACTTACATTGCCAGCACGATTATCAGCAAAATGTACTTATGTGTAAGTTGATACTATCCACGTGTTTCATGAGGCCTCAGTATTTCAGTTAATACGACCATGTGGGAGGAAAGCTTTAATAATGTATGATGCAGCATCCACGTCTCTCCCACCCAGTGCATTGAAGCATTGAAGTCGCCCATTCCCCGTGTAGGCAATCTGTGGCATCATATATATATATATATATATATATATATATATATATATATATATCAGAATGAAATCTGAGTGCCATGTAAAATATAAATGAAGCTGTTAAGCTAGAGTGGTATATTCGATCAATTAAATATTCAGTGACAGGAGAATCTTGAATTCCTGCTGTTGAATACAGACAGTAAGTCCGTTTTCTTATTGTCACCAAGTACGCATGTTGAAATAAATAGGAATTCAAGTCCGTAGAAATTGGACAAAGAACAGCTTGGGTAGCATTGTGCCAGCGGGGCTGAAATGTCAAGGGAGCCACATTAAAAAAAATCAAAACATTGCCAATACTCGGCCATTAGTTTTCAAATTCAATTAAATATTATATATAAACAATTTGTAGTGAAACTTAACATCGCTAATAAACAAAACTCTCTTCTGTTATTGCGAGTGTTTAGATTTTGAGCATTCTAGACCTTAATAACTTCGCCTTTGTAAATGCTTGAAGAATTAAGATAAAATTCTATTTAATAAAACAGATTATCATCTCATTATCATCTCAGAATCCCATGCACCAACATCGCTATTTGTTAGTGATACAAAACATAAGGTTTAAACGTTGAGTTTACGCGAGTGGTGGGTCACATGACCACGAAACTGAAGTTCATAGGTGTCTGAACAACACATGTTGACGTTCATACGTTTTTCACGAAACTGTATTCTTGAAATGATGTAAACACTGACAGATGACTTCCCTCCCCGGAATTCCCTCAGATGACTTTATACAGAATCTTGTTTCTGATCATTTAGACCCTTTAATCTTGAACTTAGCGTTGAGCATACATTGGGATAAGTCAGAAAGATTGACTGAATTTCCGTCCAAGAATATCCTAGCTACGACCTATCCCAGTGAACAAAACGAAGAAATCCACATCTGAACTACGGACTCCATCCGTGCCTAGATTGACAAGTGACAATCTACAGCAATTTACAAATGTACCTTAGTTTCTTTTTGACACATCTTTATAATCACCTTTCGCGGATCGGCCTGTTGATCAATGATGACTGACATTTTGTCATCTCCACAGGATCCTGACGCGTCCGTCACGTTTATCGTGTATTTGATGTAAATGTCTTACGACGCGCTACCACTGTGACTGACTTATTGAGATTGTTCTT